AATATGAGCTTTATATTAATTCAACGCATTTAAATTCTTATCATGTTCATACTTATTGTGCGATAAAAAAAAAGCTAGTGTGTTTATGAGGTAATTGTAATAGTTTTTCGAGGTACCATTATATTTCTTTGTACTACATGGACCCCAATACGCGTTTTAAAAAGGCTATAATATTGGATATATTTTAAACTAGGGTATTTTTTTTTTACCAACTTTCAAAACGTTATTTAAACGGGGGAGATTTTAAATACGTGTATAACAGGCTTGAAATGTATATGGCTCATTGAAACTATTACTGTCCGCGGATACCGAGCTCACTGCAGCACATGTACCGGTAGCACAGCAATAATCCTGCTATTGTTGTTTTCTTTTGTATTATTTAATGGAGGTCAATTTGTCAGATGCTATATATTGTCATTAAATGTCCGCTTTATTCTATCATTCATAATTGAATCATCAATGTAAAATGTAGACTGCCTGCCGCGTTTTACATAATATTATGTTCTTCATTGTTCGAGCCTTTAGGTATATTTTTATGTCAGCCAATCATCATAACAACAATTATTATTACTATTATTATTCTACTGTACAATGATACCGGTCAATCATATTATTATTTGTTTGTAGTTAAGACTCCTTCAATACGGTACCATCACGTGCCGACTGTAAATATTATTAAGCATTTTTTTTTTGTTATACTGTCATTGGATTTTACTACTGGTCGATGATTCATATTTTGTGCTTAATTGTTTAATGATAACAAAAGACTAATGGCCAAATAAAACAATACAATTGTATAATGTACAATATTAATAGAAAGTAATTGATATATAATTCAAAATAGAAAACAAAATATGATCAAATTAAGTAATTAATTACGTGACCAAAATGTTGATAAATAAATACAACATAAATCATAAAGACACAAAAAAGGCGTGTCTGTAAGAAGAAGGGCTAAGATAGCTAAGGCAGCTTTTTTATATTTTCTAAAATAAATAAGCTCTTATGTGTCTTGAAACAGGTTTATCTTAAAAACCATTAAGCTCCTTGTGTTAAATTATGACCCGATTCATTTGTAAGCTTTTATTTTTGTGCCAATGAATTCGGTGTTGCGTTATTATTTTACTGTGTATTTTTGGTGACATGTAAACAAATAAGCGAAATCACTTATACGACAACTGAAAGCCTATTTAATGCGGAGTACTTGTACGCGAAATAAATGTATCCTGCACCGAACGAAATACATAGAATTGCATTTAGACGGGTTTAATGTTTTATTTGTTTTTTAAATCATTTTCAAATACAAACAAAACACCAGAGTCCATTAAAACGTACCAGACAAAAACCGTTCCTATAGTCCATTAGTCATTACATATTATAATATAGTACGGCCGGAAACTGTTGATGAATATAATATACCATACACCCCGGTAGTGACGCCCGTTCGTCGGTTCTGCACTAGATAAAATCTATAGTACAACAATATTAGTGTACTTGTTCGCAGGACATTAAAACTATTATATATAATGCTATTGCTAATGTTCTCTATGGAAACCTGCGCACATACTATAACGATCACCCCATATACGACAACTACAACTAACTATGTGTATCACAACGCTGCCCTATGGTAATCGTGTATAATAATAATATAATACTATCAAACGTAGGTAAGTGTGTCTGTGTGTATGTACTGGATATATGCTAATTGACGGCGGTCGCAGACGACAACCCGCACCCTTCGAAAATGGGCGGCAAAGCATACATATAGAGGTCGATGGGCATTAAAGTCACTTTGGATGACACCTCTGCGCGATTCATGGGCCGTTAAAAACACCCGTGTGGTCGTTTAACGTGCCGTCGCACAAGACAACTTGTTTTTTAATCTAATATAATATTGTATACAAGTATAATAGTCGGTATTTGTATAATAAACACACATTTTATGTTTTAATTCTGTCGTCCGAATCGTGGCTATTGTTATTTGGCGAAAACGAAAAGTGATCGGCCGGTAACATTAATTGACTGCCGCAGTCATCGTCGTCGTCCGCACCTTGCAAAAAAACATTGTCAGTTACCACTTTTTATTATTATTATTATTTTATGTACTTACGGTTCAACGGCTTTTCAGGGTAAAAGTCGGCGGTACCCATAACAATTAGTAGGTAACTACTATTTATATGTACTTTTACAACCCTAATAGGTTTGCATAAAGAATATATTGGTTTTTATTACATGTTTTATACTTTTTTTACGACCTACTAAATAAGCGGGTTAAACTATAACAAAATATATTGTCAACCCGAACCGATAATTATTGTTACATAGGTACGTTCGGTTATTTATTACATATACCATAACTTGTATAAATAATAATAATAATGCGTTTGAAAGTTAACGGATCAGTGGCCACAGAATGGGTTTCGTTTGTTTTATTGTCATATTCTCCGCATGATAGAGCACCCGCGCGACTTATGATTTTGAAATTTGACCGCCTCTTCTTATGCCATAGTTCGACGGTCAAAAATAATTAATTATATAGATTGTATTATCATAGCAAGCGATCGACTGTATGAAACATATGTTTGGGCACCCTTAACAAAACTTTTTTGGTTTTTAATTACTTATTTCGTTACACTTCACCGACGACTGTTGGTGCAACACGGCCAGAAAATAGTATACGCATGGCCATGCATAGATCAACACTAATTATGTATGCTAAGGTTTTGTAGTAAAACAAAATTTTTAACATTAAACTATTGTTAGCAAAGCTCGAAGCTTCTAATAAAGTGACTTTAAAAATTTGACTCAAACAAATTTATTTTATAGCACATGTGTCTCAAATTTAAAAAAAATTCAATCGCGTAACCTCTTCGATAAGTGCATTTTTTGGGCCTATCCGGTAATATCATTAAAACTAATAATTTGTATATTATTTTTATTATAATAAAAAGTATTAATAATATTATTAAAACTTAAATGAATGTTGTGTTTTGTAAAATGTCCATTTCTTATTTTGAACAATTATTTCATAACAATATTTTTTTAAGTTCATAAAATATGTATTATTCTAATTAAAAATGTATAAATTATAATTACAATTTAACAAATGTTTTTTGATTAAGTATATTTTTAAGGGGTTAGTTTAGGCAATATTCTAATTGCATGCAGGTAAGTTGTTTAGGTGTGAGTTAAGTAAATAACAATGATTACTTATAAATCACAACATAATAATTTTAATTAAATTATTCAAAAGAAAAAAATGTAAATAATTTATCAAAGTGTGTCAGATAGATCAATAACTTTAGACACTATTTAATATTTATATATATATATATCTTGTATAAACATGAATGTCATATCACACCCAACATAGTACTACCCTTAAAAGCATTATTATTTCAAATGTATTGATCACACGAAGATTGCGTAATGCATTCAGCGATGAAAAAAAGAATATTAATGTATCAATGAGTATCTATTCGATTTGTCGAATAATATCCTAATTGTTTGGGTTTCAATAATCATATTTTTATTATAAATGGATCAATAATAATACATTTAGATATATTATAATTTATGAATGTTCTAGATTTGGACAGGTGGTGTATAGCCAATTATTTTACTAGATCAGTTCATATACATTAGGGTGGTTCTTATTTGTACGATTTCCGAATTTCAATTGTGCCGTCCTCCCCTCCCCCATTCGATTAAAAAAAAATGTAAGCCAACTTTGAACTTCCTTCTCCGATCCTAATCATGTTAATGTATGGGTAATTTAATGTAATTTTTACAAGTAAAAATAGGCAAATTGCATGTTTTTTAAACGGAAAACTTCTCCTCGTTAAAGGGAATGATTAGGATCGGATAAGAAAGTTCAAAGTTGGCTTAATTTGTTTTAATCGAATGGGGGCGGCACAATTGAAATTCGGAAATCGTGCAAATAAGAACCACCCTAATATGCATATAACATTTGTGTAAGTTTTAAGAATCAATACTTCAATCGAACTGTCAAAATACCAAAATTATTTTTTATTATTTACTTATTTATTAGAATCAAAATAATAACATGTTTAATAACTAATTCTGAATTTTACATACTATAATATTATATACAACATACATCTTATAGTTATAATATTATTAGATACCCGCTCCCTTTAAGTTAATAGACTTGTGGTGGGAACTATTCATATTATTTTTTTCAATATTCACTCTACACTTGCCGTTAGGAAATTACGTTGCATATACGTATATATTATATGTATATTATATATACATAGGGGATACATATTATATTATGTTCAGTCCAGCGGTGTCCTTCGATGTTCCGGAACGCATAAAAGGTTATGTCAACAACACAAATAAATCGGTTTCTATATTGTTGTCATAACTCTTTCGCGTCCCGATCGGAAACAGCGTTGTGTGAAACCCACCACTTTGACCGCCTTGAGTCGTCACGCATCCCTTAATTTCATCGGGGTCTTCATATTGTTTTACGCGGCTATTGTTCGATTTTCGTGTGTCCGTGTCCGCTTTATACGATATGTAGAATAGATACTCGTGTCACTGTATATGGTGGAACAATAAAAATTGAATCGAAACAAAACATTAATTAAATCTCCGTACCTGAGTCGGCCGTCGAGGAAACGTTACGTCGAGGAGGAGACCCGAAAAGACGAACCAAGAGCGTTGCCCAAACACACATACAATAAAAATACCACGCGGGGTTCCTTACGCCAGGTAACACCGCCGAAAAGGCACAGGTATTACAATACTGTACAAAAAAAAAAGAAAGAAATGTATAATGCACAAAAGGTGGCGCGCCACTATAACGTGTGTATAATGGGGCCAAGCAAGCAGCTGTAAATCGCCAAAATGGTAATAGAAAACACATCATGTACGCCGTAGTGTGTGTGTGTGTGTGTGTGTGCGAGTACGAACCAGTCGTTCGACTATACTACCACTGTACCGGCACGACTCAGTTATCGTTTGACTCTTGGCGCTGCACGACCGGCACTCGCGCACATGACGTCTCGTTCGCGACCGTAAAAAACGCATTGTAAATTCGCGTTTGAATTTTCGACCTTCGAATCAATACGTTATTTTATTTTCAAACACTCAATTCGTCTTTCGTGAGCTCAATACATTTTCGTTAAAACCGTTTTTTTATAAATGTGATGCAAAAATCTTTTGGATACAAAAGCCAGTGGATTTCGACAGATGTACTTGGAGTCTATCAAAAGTAAGTGCATAAACCTTCTTAGTGTAAGAACCCGCCAAAACTTTCGTGAAAGCTCAACTGCGGCTTAGGGCGAGCTAAATCGTTACTCCACCGCCGGCGATCCGTGTAAACTCTTTTACAATATACATATTATACAAACGCCAGACACGGTCAAAGCAAAAGGGGAGGGTCGTGATAGTGTGTTCCTCCCCTGTTATAAAGGTCACCTCGTCTCGACCGTCAAAAATCTAGAAGACTCATTTATCAATTGCAACGATCAAGGTCCTTATCAGACGTTACACTCGCCTACATAATAGATCGTGTCGATTATCAGCATCATTCTTTCAATGTAAAGCGTCGCTTAGGGCAATTTGTTATCAGATACAACTCGATGTTTTACAACGTACGTTTTTATCTTTTTTTTTTTTTATTTACAATTTTATTAGGTACTCAAAAGTCAATAAACGGTTTGTGCCGTTGAATGTACACAACTCGTGTAAACAAAACAAAACAGCAGCTACCTAACTAAATACGTGCATATTTTGGTCAGGCTACTCGAATATGTTAAGTGTCATTCTTGCCATATGGTCATGGGCGAGTACTGTAGCTATATAGTGATATATTTTATAGGCAAATGCATACACGTTTGTGTATATATTATTTTAATGTTAATAAGACGGCTCCTTGGCGCGTGCTCGAGGGGAGAAAAAACACCCAATTCCAGATACAACTACCAGATAACGACGTTCTGTATACCATTGTACAGTCGTGTTATGTCTCGGGCCACCGATAGGCGGAATACATTAAAATTTTATAAGAAACACAAACAACAACCCGTGAGACGGGAGCCACACGCTTCTCAAAGGATCTAGTATTTCATCTCGACGAAAACGGGTTATCACTTAACGAAAACAGTCTATTGTAAACGTTTGAACGTTTTTTTTATTATTCCGAAACAGTAACAACAAAATATATTATGCAATCGCTCAGCAGTTTTTATTCACACTATAAAACGAATGAAGTAGCCGACGAAGTAAAAGTTTTCCTGACTTTGATAGTCAGACTGTCAAATGATTTAAGCATTACTGTTTTTATTATTAGCTATTATTGATTGTAGGTAATATTATAAACAGAATTGCAAAAATGAATGTATAACGAATTTCCAAGTATTACCTGCTGATATCCTTTGAAAGGTACTCCAGTATTGTAAAAAAAAAAAGAACCATCACGCTCTTTTCGTTCTTCATATGATTTTTTGAACGTTTCAACTATTACACATTTATAACCTGTACGGGTAGGTAGTATGGGCCACGTCAAGTCGTATTATTCCTGCCGATTAATGACATGCCAAGGTTGACGGATTACTTTCATGTTGGCGACAAAAAATTGTTTGCAAACCGCTTTGGTATCACGTGGGCTATAGTATACCAATCGGGTTATGGGTAAGCCGCAGATGAATTCCGATATAAATCTACATTTAAACGCAGCCATTAGTGTATCAATCGGCGCTACAAAAGTAATGCCTATACATGTATAGCTATAGTCGTATGGCTTCTTAAGTTTTTTTTTTTTGACTACCCGGTCAACCGCTGATTTTGGCAATAATAATTATGCACAGTGCCGTGGTTCCTTTGTCACCAAAAAGCTGGACCGCGGTAAATCCCCCGTCGTCTGTGCTCCAGACCAAACAATGCCACCGGACTGGTTTCCTCCGCCTCTCTCCTTTCATCCCCGACCACGTCACATGCGTCTAGACTCCTAGCCGTCTCGTATCTGACGGCAACAGCCACCGTCTACGTCTCCGCCGGTATACTTACTATATACCTATATAATGCAAATGTACTTGTCAATCACGTCTCCCCGGCGCGGCGCGTACAATGCATTATATTCGCCGTTATGGTGCGCAAAAAACACACACAACAATAATAGTAATAATAATACATGTGTGCTTGCGCACAACCCGGCGTTTCTCTGCTCCTCCCCCTTCGTCGGTGTGTGCGTGACGCGTACCAATTCCACAGCACGCGGCCACCAACGTGTATATTAACCGCGGCGCTAAATTCTAACCGACGACGGGTCCGCCTCAATTTCACAGCAAAACCCACAAACCATTGCCATTCAACCAGAAGCTAAACTAATAGAGAAAACCGTGTACAAAAAATGGTAGGAATCTCAAGCAATTTTTTTAAATTACCGAAATCTTGAGGACAATTGTTAGGGGTACCTAATGTTGATATTCTCTATCCCTGATCTACATAGAATTTAGAGATTTTGTAGAAATCGTATGTAGTTCGTCACAAAGAAACTAGAAAGTACACTCGATGTTTGACTGGTTCCTACTGGAGTTAAGATTAGGTTGAAGCATAACCATAAGAAAGGGGTAGTAAGTTCCAACCTAACCAAACGTTATACACCCAATTTTATAACCCGTCCAGTTCATCTAGACACCTGGTGACTGTTACGGTACCCCTGATTTGTTCAGACAAATGACGTCACTGAGTGTCAGATGAACTGGGCGGGTTATACACACTACAGTTTAACTTTTAAATTAAGATTTTCCAAAAAAATTGCCCATACCTAACTCCTTAATAAATAGGGGGTATATCGTTCTCTTAGTTAATATAATAAAGTCTTAACTTGAAGTCGAGAAAAATAAAAAAAATTTCGAAACTTGCTTGGTACGACAATATTTCTTGGCATTTTAAGATAGTTAAAATATTTTTTTTTCGGGGATAGCACACCATCAGGGACAGATACGTTAAAGGTCTAATTTTCGCGTTAAAGTTTTATGTAATTAGTGATATGTGGGATGATAATTTAAAAGACATTATCCGAGTTTTCTTTTTCTATGAATTTGTGTATCTATTCGGCTCGGTTCTTTTTTTTTTTTCATGGATTCCATTAAGGTTTATCCGCCGATTTGACACAACAACGATGATATTATTAGGCAGGTAGGTACGCATAAACGTACGCACTAAGTACAATAACGCGGTATCACGTTGGAAGGGCAAAAAGACGCACGTGCATGGGCCTTTTTTTCCAAAGGGTCGTCTTGCAGACTATGCGGAGTCGTCCAATGCGTGTGTTTACGTAAGGAAGATTCGCGACAATCGGCCGGCAACAATATCGCAGCTGGACATTCCGTGCGCGTTTATTATGCACACCGGTGCCCATGAGAAATTCGGTTCGCATGACCGGCCGGTGGTGTTCAGTACTGCACGGTAATCGAGTTTGTGCAAGGCAACAATATGTGTGCATATTATATTATACTGTTGTTGTTGTTGTAGTAGTATGGTAATGGATAGAATAGAAGATGCGTGTGCCCTGCCGCGGGAAACCGGTTTGCATTTTGTCGGCGCCCCGTCTTGGCCGTCGTTGGAGAACGACCGGTCAAGGGAATCGGTTCGGAAAAACTGTAGCAAGACAAAACAATTATTTAGGTAATGATATGGAAGGAGACGGAAAAAAAACAAGTAACCGAAAACGGATACGAGGCAACCCTTTTGCGCGTACGCGACTCTAAAGCAAATATTTAACGTTTAAATAGCCGAAGGAAAATAAATAGAACAAACTTGTTTTGATTGCAACCTATCCGATGACAAGCCAAAATGACGACAATCCCTAACGCCCCGTAGAGTCATGTAGCCCTGTAGAGATATTACAATCGGATATCACTTTTCATCGTACACGGTTCACTTTCAGCGCAATCCGAGCGCAACGGCTAAGAATAATATATTAGTTTTCTTCACTTGTGACGGCCACATTATCGCGCTCTATAGGTCAACTGGAAAACATTTATGTTCTGGATCGCCCATTAACTTTGTGACTCGTTTCGTGCGACCAACGAATAGTAAGGAAAACCATTAAAAACGCTACATTGCGGACACATTCTAGTGTGACATATTAACTGAGTTATTATTGACCCATTGTATCATATTATCAGTCGGTACCCCGCCCCGAAGTGAAATTAAATACACTATTAACACCACTTCCACCCTAGTCGTTTTTCTTATACCTTATACCCATATAAAGCTTCTTAAGTAAAATAACGTTTGGGAAAGTTTGCCTAAGCTGTCTTGAACTCTATTTACTTAATAATTTTGCAAACAGATTTTTTTGGCATTTATAGACCTTGTCTAAAGATCAGACAACTGGCATACTATATTTATTATTTTGAAAATAATGCCTTCTGATTAGCATATCTTGCCAACGGTCCAACCTGGACCTTTGGTCCCAGCTAAACTTCACTAACCGCACTGGCAAGAGTTAAGCCGATTACTTGCACAGGACGACGGAGATATTTTTATCAAGGCCGACCCTTGGTCCCTCGTATAGGTACACCAATTATTATGATGTACAAGTATATAATATAGAGCAGATCCGTATCTGACCGTGAGCTCGTATACGGATTTCTAGTAGAGGTATCAAACCTCGGAGACCCCAGACGACAAAAAAACTGAAGAGAGAGAGATAGAGACATGGCGGAACCGGTCCGTTACAATTTATAAAACGTTATAAATAATGTTTTATGGGAATAAGAAAATCTCCGGGCCAATCGGGGCCAAACAACAACGGTGTGGCGAAAACTGGATCTCTTCCCCCTGAGCACCCCATCTCGGTTGCGCATTAAACACGCCGTTTTTTTTGTCTTTTCGGCGGCCGACCCTCCGTGTAAGACTCCACTGTATAATAATGTTAACCTGCTGCCGCCGCCACCGCCGCTGTCGTCGTCTCCGGCAGTAGAGGGATGCGACCCCCCAAACGTTAGCCGGGGAGACAGAGCGAAAAAAAAGGTCAAGTGAAGCGCCTTTCGGCCAGACGGAGGGGCAATCCACAAAAGATCAGACGTCTGGTTTTTCTCTCCCTTTTGTCCGGGATTTTTGAAAATTTTCCCATCGCGCTCGATCCCTTCGAAACTCTGAAACCAATCGAAATTTATGTTTTTCCACGACCGCCGGAACTACTTATTGAAATCACCCGATGGCCATCGTAAATTGGAAAGTCCGACGAGTCAGGTGACA